GTCTATAACCCTTTAGAAAAGGATCATCCCATGAAACTGAAGACTGGTTTGGTGGAAATGTGTTCTAGATATACTGGAGTAAGCGAATTATCTGTTTTCAAAATTTTAAGAGAGAAGAAAATTGAAGGAGACGTTAAGAAACCTAAAAAAGGGGGTGCAAAGAAGAAATTAATATTAAATGAAGATGAGAAAAATGCAGTTTGGCGTACAGTACATAAATCATAGAATTTATATTTTGTTTATAATTTGTTAACATTTCTTGTTTGATAGAAAAATAACTTATTTTGTTGAGATTGGTAGAGAATTGTTGTTAGTGTTTTCATTTGATAGAATCATATCATAGGATTTATATTTTGTTTTCATTCTGTAAATATTTATAGTATATCTGTTATACAAGGTTTTTGCTTTGAAACTTCGTTCTCCTTATAAAAAAAAGAATCGTAATGGGGTGCGATGAAGAGATCAGTTCACGTCTGGAACCCTGTTCCTACAAAAATCCCTTTATTCTCATAAACTATTTGTTTTAAATGTAATTTATTATAAATCCAATTCGTTATTTAAATTCCACATATGTACTACATTTCACCTCTGTACGCGCCACTGTTTATTGTTCCCTGCTCTACGATCAAGCTCGCCAGGTTAGTATTTGACGTATAACCGACCACTTCGTACACTCGATGCACCTGGCCGACTACAGCTAGTACCAGAACACAGTGCGTATGCGGCGGTATTTCAGATTTTACATTCAATTTCATTTTAAATTTGAAACGGTTCATCTTACGCCTCCTAAAAATGATGACACGATTTTCCTTTGATAAAAGACCGACAATTTTTTGCTCTACTTTGCATCGTATGCGATCGTACTATAGAGATTTCATTAAAAGAATCATGGAGACTACATAAGGAGCACGCCGAACTCCATGTAAACAAACATCTCACCAAATTAGAGGGTGCTAGTGTCTTATATATGCACCGAAATAGTGGAGGGGAGATAAAGAAAGCGGCAGTTTGAATTAAAAATCAATCATGCCGTTTTTGTGATGTATTAAAAATTTTAAAATAAATAATGTAGGCTACATTGAATTAGATAAATAAATCAATAAATTAAAATATATCGGTGGACAAGGAACACTAGGGACCCTTTCTATTATTACATTGACAAATTATTTTGTCAATTTTTCCGTATGAGTTCGTGCTCCTTGTCTAGTCTCCCTGAAAAGAATTTTGAATATTTGCAGATAGTTTCCAAATATGCGATTTTTTGGAGACTTGAAAAACTATGTTAATGGCAATATGTTAATAACATAGAGATGTCTAGTCTCCGTGGTTAATAAACATGGATGGAATTAGTGAAGATTGTTCTCTAATAGTACGGGAACACGTCAAAAGAGGCGCTGCTGCAACGCCAGTTGACAGGAAGTAAAGAGTTACCGATGTGGGAAGGGAGAGAAAGAGATAGTTTGGATATCATCTTTTCTTTCGCACAGGCACGTTATTGGCTAACGCAACTCCTTCCTCACCTATTAGAGAGAGAGAGAGAGATGGAGAGAGAGAGAGAGAGAGAGAGAGAGAGAGATAGATAGATAGATAGATAGATAGATAGATAGATAGATAGATAGATAGATAGATAGATAGATAGATAGATAGATAGATAGATAGATAGATAGATAGATAGATAGATAGATAGATAGATAGATAGATAGATAGATAGATAGATAGATAGATAGATAGATAGATAGATAGATAGATAGATAGATAGATAGATAGATAGATAGATAGATAGATAGATAGATAGATAGATAGATAGATAGATAGATAGATAGNTATATATATATATATATAGAGAGAGAGAGAGAGAGAGAGAGAGAAACAGCGGGTACCCAATCTAGCGCCCTTTCTCTCTACAACGTTTACACTTTTTAATATGTGGTGCTTATCTATGTGCGGTGCTTCCTCCATGTTCTAGCTCAGCGGTCCTTAAACTTTTACGACGTGCGGAACCTCGCCAACATTTCGATTTTTTGAGGAACCCCTACACCTAAAATGATTTTTCGCACAGGTACGTAGTTGCAAAAGGCATATTAATAATATTGCTAACCAGGCATTGCCTGGTTAGCAATTTCAGGATATTCCTCATAAATCACTAGTCAGAAATCAAGGGAAAGGCGACGTAACCAACGCGAAGAACGCTCTGCGTCAGCTTATAAGTCATAAGCCGACTACTTGCAGTTGAATAAATAGATAAAGCTCTTATAGTAACTTACGCGTGTACTTATAAAAATAAAATGTTTTAAGAATTTTTTTTTTTGAATTTTGTAATTATCGATACTTAACAAAATTTTAAATTTTTGACTGAGTAGCGGAACCCCCAGAGAGATTGTGCGGAACCCCAGGATTCCTCGGAACGCAGTTTGAATACCGCTGCTCTAGCTAGAGCTAGGGTGTCTGTGAATTAAACCAAAAGTTTGCAAAACGAGATTGTTTTCGGATGTTAAAATATTTTTTCTTTGTCAAATTTATAATTATATCTAAATACAACTTCTTAAATCATGTATAAACTTGATCATCTCTTAAGTTTTTCTCAATGTTCACAAAAAATATCTTCGAAAAATATGCGTAGAATGAAGGCAGTGGCGTGTACATTGGAACGGCGGAAGGGCTCGGTCTCGAATCTTTTTTCACTAGATTTTCCCTTAGCGTGTGAAATTTAATATTGGAGGCAAAATAACTGGATATCTTAATCGTCATGGAAAATTGCAAAAAAGAAAACATTAAATGTTAGTTAAAATTTATTTTCCAGCCTCTACATGGTAAGGTATAAACAATTTAAATTATGCAGTGTCTTGAGTCCGTTTCCATTTTACTGATCTGTTCCACTCCTGCCGAATCTCATATGCCCATAATCATCGAAACTTTCTTCTCCTCTTTTCCCAAATCGTAGGTGGCCGTAATCATCCGAAGTTTGTCGTTTTGAAAATTCAATCAGGTCGTCGTCATCTAAAAAATAACAGAAATAAATATAAAATATATGTAGGTATTTAATATATTTTTATTTATATATCCTTTCAATTTCTATTTTTAAAAAATATAGAATTAAATATGTCTTTAAAACTTTCTGGGTCATGCTGATATTAACATTTTTAAATGGATTTACCTTGTATTAACATTCAAAAAATTCATTAAATAGTGATTATATGTCTCTGCCCTGAACTATGCTTTTTATTCATATGCAACTCTAATAAAATTTCCTTACCTATGAAGTCGTTTAAATAAGGTTCTGGCTTTAGTCGGGCATACTGAGTTATAGGACGTGCAAATCTACCAAGAATTCTCGCCCTCGGTCTATGTACTTCTTGATTTGTAGGACCTCCCGTTGTTGCTGAGGTGAATCCAAACTGATATGTGAGGAAAAGGTACAGACTTGTGAGTAGGAACATGCCGGTGAAAAAGCTCTTCATAATTGTGGTCTAAAAAGGTATATAATTAAGAATCAATACGAGGCTTTCTTAGTATTTAAATAAATCTAAATAAAATGAGATCCATTTTGAAATACTACAGCCGTAATCGTGCCTATAAGAAGGAAATAATAAGCGCAGGCACAATAGCTTCGAGAAGAAGTACCTTATTTTTTTTAATTTAACAACAAAAAGTTGATCCAAATAATAATAATGGAATAATTAAAAAACAACAAACAATAATGACTCTCATTTCGAATTCGAAGTAGAAAACAACAACTTGCTAAACAAGTCTCCCGTATTACTTGTGACACTTGTGACATCTTTAAGTCGTTCAGCGTAGTATTTGCATATTATTGCGCCCGATAAAGTTGAATTATAGTAATATGCAAATACATAATTAATAAAACGAAGTCTTGGTAGCATACTTAAATAAAGGAATGAAAAAAACCCAATTTTTAAAATATTCTCGCAAAATTTCTATTGAAATTTTTTTAAATTTTCAATATATTTCCTCTTTTTTGTTTTTGTTTATTAGATTATTTTCATTAATACCTTTTGCATTACTACCTGTTTATTTAATGATAGTACCTACTCAAGATGTGTGTGATTGTTTATTTGTTATGTCATAAATTTGACGAGAAACTCGAAAACTAATTTTTGGTTGTTTTTTTACATTGTCCATCAATTTGTTCTGTTTTCAATTACTCCTTTACACAAAATTACTTTTTTACATGTTTCATCCAATTAATTTCTTCCAACTTTATTACCTACATGAATTTATTAAAACTATTAACAACTGTACCACATATCCTAAAACTTTTTGTTGTATTTGTTGTTAGAAAAAATAGCGTTATAGGTACTGCTTCAACCAATATTAGGTTGATAATATTATAGTCTAAATGATAAAAATGACAATTTTTAACTGACGCTTTTTATTTAATATAATAATAATTGATCGTGACTTAACTTAAAAAAGTTTTTGATTAGCGTGTATAATGGTAATTTTTATTGAAACATTTTTTTATCTACTCATCGAAATTGATTTTTTTTATGGACTCAATAATAAAGAATCATAAATATTTTTAAAAATATTATATAAAATATGGGGGGGATTTCATTTACATAATCAAAAAGTTAACAGAAATATGTTTTATGGATGTCCATCAAAACAGATAAGTACATATGTCTTATATACTTACTTATGCATTATGGATATCCATTTGTATCATAATAATGATTCTATGTACTTATGTCCATAGTCCATAATTGGAATAATCAATTTATTAACACAATAAGGATATGCATTGTTCAACAAAACTAAAGAAAAGAACATCAAGGTTTTTTTAGATCGGATATGCGTTTGGATAACTATAAAGGATGTTTTATGATTATTTAATTTATGGATATACATTTGAGATTTATGGATATCCTCAATTGGAATTGGAATAATCATGAAATCATGTAGGCAAAAAAAGGTATCTTATGGATGTATGGATTATAATAATGTCCACTGCACAGAAAAGGACGACTTAAGATACATTTAAGGCGGATGTTTATATAATATTCAGGGTGTTTCAGGAGATGTACATACTTCAATATCTATGTTATTCTACGTTTTAAGTAAAACATTTCCTATGAACGTAGGTCTGGAAACGTTTTGTTTAGGATATACAGGATGTCAAATTAAAACAAAATTATTACATTTTCTTTAACTCTCCACTACTTTGAGTTAAATTCATGAAATTTTGTATGCGGAGGTTTCTTGGGACGGGAAATGAAATTCAAATTTTATGGACGATTGGCTGTATCTCCCTGAGGGCGCCACAAGCGACCATTAGGATCCTTTTAAATCGCTTCAACTTTTTTGTGCCACGGTGTATGTCAGTTCAGAATAGAAAAATTTTTTTCCCTATCTTTTCTACTTAAGAAATGTACACCTTATTCAAGTCTCTAGGAGCAGCCGTTTGCGTTAAAAACTCATCTAAAGATGATGAAGCATGCAAATTATGTATTAGAGTGAATCGAAAGTTATTGTTGTCAGGTTTTGTACATTTTGTTTGGAGATTTTATTTTTGCAATTCTCACAAAAATTTAATGAATAGATCAACGCTAATCGTCAACTAGTTCCAATGATGCTTTTTACTGACGAAGTTGATACATAATTAGCACTCTAATACATAATTTGCATGCATCATCATCTTTAGATGAGTTTTTAACGGAAACGGCTGCTCCTAGACTTCAACATTTCTTAAGTAGAAAAAATAGGGGGAAATATTTTTCTATTCCGAACTGACATACACCGTGGCAAAAAAAGTTGAACCGATTTAAAAGGATCCTAATGGTCGCTTGCGGCTCCCTCTGGGAGATACAGCCACTCGTCCATAAAATTTGAATTTCCCATCCCAAGAAACCTCCTCTTACAAAATTTCATGAATTTAACTCAAAGTAGTCGAGAGTTATTAAAGACAATGTAATTAATTTTTTAAATTTGACATCCTGTATATCCTAAACGCAGCGTTTCCAGACCTAAGTTGATAGGAAATTTTTTACTTAAAATTGAAAGTAGAGTAACATACTAAAGTATGTGCATCTCCTCCTGAAACACCCTGTATATCAAAACAGAAAAACCTATGGATGACCAAATAGGAATGTACTTCCAACAGATCCATGCATGGAGTTGAGGACAAAAACGGATACTCATGCAACATCATGCTTTATGGGATATAATCCTAAGTGAGCTTCTGTTATTAGCATCGTGACCTAAAGGAATCACAACTTTATTTGTAACTGACTGGGTAAAATAATTTTTTAAAAATGTAACATTTGAATCTTCATGACGGCTGTATAACCAATGGCGCTGATATAAAGAAAAATAAAATATATACACTTACCAATATGATTTTTATTGCAGTTATATGAAGCAAAATAAAACTTGGTCGCTAAATGGCAAGGATAAACTGCACTTATCCCTGCCATCCTGGCCTTATATATGGAAAATCTAATCACATGACTGCTGGGAAATTTTAAATTCCGATAGCGGTTCTGGCCAATAAAGAGGAAAATTTTATATTAAGTTGCCAATAACAATATTAAGTCGAGTGCTAGCGATGAAGACAAATCCCCACACTACATGTGTCACGCTTCATTATGCTAAAATGGTGAATTGAAAAATAATTTATTAAATTTTCTCGACGTGCATCATCCATGCACGGCGAGATGTTCAGACGTTCGAGATTTTCATATTGTCTTTAATGTGGTTACTTTATAAAAGAGACATTACTCGTATTTAATATTTTAAGGAGTCTGCCCTCTCATTTATGAGATTATTGGATGAGATCCGAAGGCAGCAGTCGAATTATTCTAATTTAATTTTCAAAAGCTAAAATGTTGTAATTTCCTTAAAAAATATTACAAAGTACTAGATCAAGTCGTTGGTCGCAGATACATACATTTGGGCGTAAATAATAGCCCTTTATATGCCAATTTCCATTCAGATGCCTCTTTTTCAAGATTTCATTTAACCCTTGGTTTTTAAGACACTACAACTTCTTTGGATAAATGGTCGAACTTTTTTAACATTACACTTAGGGTTTAGTAGGTATTTTTTAAAAAATGGTGTATTTTAAATACCACTTGGGTAAGGGTTCGATTAAATGTTTTTTTTTTTTTTAATTTACTTAATCGAACTTTGGAAGTAGATTTATTTAAATGGTATAAAAAGCAATTCATTTGAACCATAGGTGTGCGCAAAATTTGTAGTAGTCAATGGGTACTACAGCTCTACTGCTTTCTTTTTTATTCGAGATTCAATTTTTTTTATCAAAATTGTACAAAAAATTTACCTTCGTGGTAAGAAAGTCTATGCAAAGTTTTCACTGAATATGATAAAAGCCAAAGAAACAATAAAAATATTTTTCATTGCAAATTTAATACCCTGTTTCTTGAAAATAGAACCGCCTTACTGAAAAAATTATTAAAGAATGTTTCCAATTCAAAGATCTGTGTACCTAAAAGGTAATATTCTAGTGATATATAAAAATGCAAATACTTCATTTTTAAGATTGAATTAAATTGGATTATTTTTTAATTATATTATCATATAGGTAATCTATACGGTCTACGACCCCTGTAGTTTCTCCGAATTTTTTTTGCGACAACACTGCTTTTGAGAAAAAACAACCAGTTTGTTTTTTCCTTTAATAGAAAATTAAACTTTATACCTTGTACCTTAAAGACGAGGCTTTTGAAGACATACTTTTTATCTTATTTTTTGGTCAGCTGTATGGACCTAATAGGCTATTGACTGTGTCAAAAAAAAGAGGGTACAAAGGAACTACAACGTAACAGAAATTTTATTGTTTGATATGTTCAATTGATCCTAAAAAATAATAAAACCGCGGAGTGCTACCTTTTAAAGGGGTGCGTTTTTGACAATGAAGTAAAAAGGTGGTATTTTCAGTTTTTTGAGTTTTACTCGAAAACTAGGCAATTTTTCACCATAGTTATCAATAGAAAAGTTGTAGCAAATTGAATTTCCAATCGAAATGAGGCCTTCTGAAGTCAAGAAAATTTATTTTTAACAAAAATATGCCCCAAAACCGAGTAAAAAAACAAAAAATTGTTTTTTTTTGGTTTTTAGCCCACAACTTTTTTCTGGGAGGAATTAGGTATAGGCATTGCTTCACAGAAAAAAAGTTAATGTTTTTTCCTTTAAAATAAGCCCTTATAGAAGTACCTACGATCAATAGAAACCAAGATACATTGGATCAAAGTTGGCTACTTTTTGGATTTTTGGCAAATTTTTGTCCTTTTTTGACGATTTTCGTCTTATAACTTTTTTCTGAGTTAATTTAGGTATATGTAATACTTAAATTATTATTTATTCAAATGAATAAATAATAATATCCAATCACCTAGAAACTTATTTTAACTTTCACATGCACAAAAATAAATTTATTAGACAAAATAATATCGAAAGTAATAAAAAATTTATAAAAATAAGAAAAAGTATTGTTGGTTAAATTGACAAATCTCGGTTGATTAGAATTGTACAAACCTCTACCAGGCACCATTTTAAAGGTCTTGAAACCAGCTTGCATTTGAGGCATTATATATATATATACCTAAATTAACTCAAAAAAGTTATAAGATGAAAAATCCAAAAAGTAGCCAACTTTGATCCAAAATGTATCTCGGTTTCTATTAGTCGTAGGTACTTCATTAAAGGCTTATTTTAAAGGAAAAAACTTTAACGTTTTTTTCTGTGAAGCAATGCTTAATTCCTCTCAGAAAAAAGTTGTGGGCTAAAAACCAAAAAAAAACATTTTTTTGTTTTTTTACTCGGTTTTGGGGCATATTTTTGTTAAAAATAAATTTTCTTGACTTCAGAAGGTCTCATTTCGATGGGAAATTCAATTTGTTACAACTTTTCTGTTGACAACTATAGTGAAAAAATGCATAGTTTTCGTGTAAAACACAAAAAACTGAAAATACCAGCTTCTACTTCGATCTCAAAAACGCACCCCTTTAAAAGGTAGCACTCCGCGGTTTTATCATTTTTTAGGAAACAATAAAATTTCTGTTACTATCTAAAATGCATAGTCAATAGCCTATAATTTATTTTTATTTATAATAAAAAAAATTGAAATTAAATAAATAATTACTTACCTTTTTGAAAACAGTTTATTTCAGGAGCTATTTATTTTATTCAACAAATAAGATTTCTTTAGAAAATAGGAAAGGAAGTATGGCTGTAAGAATTTTTTTCACAATTACTATTTTAAATTGTTTTTAAATTAAAATATAACTGGCACTTTAAAGCAGCAAATATAAAAATATTTCGTGAGCTTTTTCCAGACCTTCATAGCGCATGTTATTTGAAATGAAGAAGATGCTATTCGTTTTTTTTTTCTAGATAATTTTTATTTGCTAGTATTGTAAACTACTTATACATAACTTATTGATTAAATGATACTTTTAAAAAATAACGACATTCCATCACAGTTAATTAATTGCAGTCATTATTGCGACTTTTGAATTAATAGTACAGCAGTCTCCCCGCGATATCACATTAAATGATACACAGTAACCAGTCTTTCTCATGAAAATTTATACCTAGTAGATTAAACCGACTTATTGTTCTGTAAACCTCTTCTATCATACGTGCGCAGCACAGCTGGTATCACAACCCTGCTCTTCTCTTCTTCCTTTTGTTGCCTTCTTTTCCTGTAGCTTTGGAGACTCAACCTACGCCATATAGGATTACCATTACCTTCTTCGTTACTCTTAGACGGAACTTTCTCAGAATTTCCATGGATTTTATGTTTATTCTTACACTTCTTAGGCGTCGTTTTCCTATTGACACCGCTACTGTTATTTTCTTCAATCAAATAATTCCTCAAATTATCTTTCTCTGTATCCCGTAATTTAAACAAGGATTTTATAGTGGTTGAAAGCCTGAAAGTGTGTGCCCGGTAGTTGTAAATGTCACACTGACTTTTTAACCAACTTTCCATAATTCAATGGATTTAAACCAGTTAATGGAACTTAACTTTAACTGTATGAATGAAAGGCTTGGACTGTCCAGAGGATGCAGATATAGAATGTCTGCTGCATAATTAAATTAAATTACCTATCCCATTTGTATTGCGAAATGCATTTGCGGGGTTTCAATATCTTAACATTTAGTTACGTAAAGTCAGTGGCGAACTTTTAAATTGCCTTGGGTGCACCAATCGCAAATAACAGAATGTAAACTGTACAGAAACTATAAGCAAAAAATAGAAGTTCATTCTTGTCATAAAAATAATGGTACTTTCGAAAACTCTATTATTGACGTTATGCAGAGCATCAATGTTATTATCCTATTTACTATTTTGTCATACCTTTTTTTTAATTTAGAGAATCTTTTTCAAATTTAGTACTTACGTTTATTATGGGTAACATACTGCATCTATAAAAAATATTAAAACTCTAGAGCCTTAAAAATTTAAAGATCCTTTACCTCGAAAATATTAATTTTTTATATTAGATTGTAACATATGAAATATCCGGTTTAGATGGCCAACTTTAAATGAGCAGAATTAACTTTATCATTCAAAATAAAAACCGTTAGTATCAGCACATTTTTGCCACCGAAAAACAAGTTTATTTATTCCGGTTTCATAAAATTCCGGAGTTCTGAGGAGGCGATGAAGTCTCTATTGCGCAAGCGTTTAAAACTAGAAATTTGAATTTACCGCCAATTTTATTGCCGCACTCTGATTGATCGAACAAAATTGAATTTTAAATTTACCGCCAACTGCTGTTTGGAGTTCATTGACCTCCCTATCGTGATTGGATTTTAAATTTACCGCCAATTTGATTTCTGCGCTCTGATTGTCTGGGAGGGGGAGGGGAGGGGAAAAGGTGGAGGAGTGGGTGTAAAATTCGTCAAAAATGACCAGGATGAACCTTCATAAGGAAAAGCATGGGATTTTGGCGTCGTATGAACATAGCCTATCTAAGACATTTTTGGCATCCTCTTGTCTTTTCAAGCATTTCTTCTGAAAGGAGTTGTCGAGATGCTTGAAGAAGTGATGATCAGTTGGTGAGAGATCCGGCAAGTATGGGGGATGAGGCAGAGTTCCGTAGCCCAGTTCGTTTAACTTCTGTAACGTCGTTGTGCGACGTGCGGCTGAGCGTTGTCGTGGAGATAATAATCGGTCCTTTTCTATTGATCGACCAATGCCTGCCGTTGTTGTCGAAGTTTCTGATGCATTTTGTCGATTTGATGACGATATCTACTTTTCTGTAGTAATGGCTTCGCCAGGTTTCAGGTAGCTGTGATGGATGAGACAGACCACCAAACAGTCATCAGAACCTTCTTTTGGTGCAAAATTGGCGTTGGGAAGTGTTGTGAAGCTTGATCGCGGTCCAACCACCGAGCCGAACGTCATCGATTGTCCGAGGAAATCCATTTTTCATCGCACGATACAATTCGATCCAGAAAAGGGTGGTTTTTGTTGCGTAGAAGAGCAGCCGACACTTCCAAACGGCGATTCAGGCGAAACAGTAGCATTAAATTAAATAATGAAAATTGAATTATTCTTTATAAAAACATGATATAAATATAAAAGAGCAGATTCTTAGCTTTACAATGATATATAAAATATAAATGCATAGAGAAAAACTTGATTCCAAAAACATAACAAAAATAAACTTTCAAAAATCGGACATTTCATGTTACAACCATAAATAAATCAGGGAAATTAAAGATTTGATAGATTTTAATACTTACAATTGAAGAGCACAGGGGAATAAGGGGGAATGTCACTTTTACATGTTTGTTCAGAATAAGATTTTTAAACTTTGCAACTGTGTTTGTTATTTAAATATATCAAATTTTTAATTCCTTTACAATTTCAGAATTTTTCGGAAAGATTAGATTTATTGTAATAGTTCCCTCGAGTAATTAGGGTTACCAGATCTATTTCATGACAGACCCGTTTGTATAACTGATTGAAATTGAAAAAAGGACGTAATCAGGAACAGTCTACTTCTCTACTTCGTGAAGCCCGACGATGTACCATCAAAACCCGAAGACTCCGGGTCAAACCCGGAGATCTGGTAACCCTATGAATAATGGAAATCATTTCCACAATAGGTCTTGTTAATAATAACCATTACTGATCCAATTCGATAGTAATCCAAGATGAAGAAAGGAAACAGTAGAAAAAATAAGTGGTAAAAATGGCAAGTGTATACCTACTTAATTTTTTTTCAAAGTGACATTCCTAAACTTATTAAATGTTCTTTTGTAACGTAGTTACAAGATGATGTACCTGCCCAATATAATGTATCCTGAAAGATCGAAACAAATTAATCGCGCGGTTGCCAGATCTAATACCACTTGATTTTTTCATTGTGGAGGTATTTTAAACCAACAGACGATATGGCGGAAATAATCAATAAAATGTATGCTGATTGCAACGCTTTTAGGCATTACTGTTTTATTAATTAAAATGTCATTTTACCCAATAAGAAGGATTTTTAGGAGGTTTACGATTTTGATTTGATAAACCAACCTTAAAATTATTCTTATATCTGATTTTAAGCCATTTTTAAAAATTTTAGTTATATTTTTTTCGTTTGAATTCAGTTTTAAGCCTCGAATATACGAGTATTATCGGCTTCGAGTATCTTTAACTTGATCATGCAAAATCTCTTCTCAACTGTTGTATTTCACTTTAAGTACCTATAACATAATTTGCTAAGAAGAAAAAGTTCCTATCAGAAAATCTCCTTTAGATTTTTTCAGCTCTCTTCTAAAACAATAGTTATTTACGTTACAAGGCCGGGAAATGGTATATTAAAGTACAAGTCTAGATGTTTACGGACGAGGCGACGAAGGAGCCGAGTCAGGAATTTCTAGACGAGTACTTTAATGACATTTCACGGCCGTGTATCGTACGTTTTATTTCATACTGTGTTGTATTAAAAATGAAATTTTAATGTTTTATTTTACATAACCTGCCTGTATGTAGGTGTTAGCGTGGTTTCGATTCTTGTTTTATCGCATAGCTTTTGATTTAGCTTAGTGATGTAAAAACTAAAATAACAAATTTGACAGTTTGTCATCCCGTGCGTATTTTGTGATAATTTTCGTAAAAAATGAAACAAATCGAGCTAAAATGTGCTGAAGCAACCAGTAAATTGGTGCCTACGAAGTCTTCTGCTCGTTATGAGAAGGAATACCAGCTCTTCAACGTGTGTTTTTTTAAAGCAGTCCGGGAAGTAAAAATTTTCCGGACTCAGTACTGTAATGAGTTATTTCCCGGACTTAAATGAGTCCGGTAAATAACTCATTACAATACGGTATGAAATAAAATATATTTAATTTTTCATTAGCAACTATACTTAACAGTATTCTGAACTGGACTTTTTTCAGAAATGGATCCAAATTTACAGAAAGCAATTCAAGATTACAAAGAAAAACAAAAAAATTCAGGAGCCGCTGTCGACTGCGTCGAATTGGAAAGATGCTTCAGAGAATTTAAAACTGAATTATACATAAAAAGGGTTAGTTAGTAGATACCAATAAAATACCTATAGGAACACAAATACTTATATCAGTGCACTTATTTCCATTTTGGAAAACATTAAATTAGAATATATTTTGTAGGACGAGGTAAATCAGCAGCGCACAGAATTAGATGCGGCAAATTTGGAGATTCAAAATCTCAGAAGAGCTTTAGATGTCACCAAAAAGACTTTAGACGAAAATCAATTTAATCTAAATATCCAGTTGAAGAAAGCTTCCAATAATGAAGAACAGTTAAAAAAGATGGAATCCTTGATGAAAATTCAATTACAGCACAAAATGGCGGTAAAATGAATAAGTATACCTAAATTAGTAAAATAAGTTATTAATTTGAATGAAAATTATTAACATACAATGGCATTTGTTGTTTTATATTATCAATAGATTATATTGTAGATTACAGAAATAGATACTTTGAAAGAAAATCTTCAAAAAACCGAAATGGAGAAGCTTGAACTGACCAGAAAAGTAGATGTTCTTGAGGCCAAACAACGCCACAGTTCGATGTATTACAATGAAATCTTAAAGAGAGACAATCAACTAAGAAATATTATGACAAATCTAGACGAGTAAGAAAAAATTATAATTTCTTATTTAACAGGAATTTCCAAAAATGCAATTTATAAAATAAAAGGTTTAACTCCTACATGCAATTTTGTGAAATTGTAAATAGTAATGTGGTGGACCAAAAAGTTTACAATCTTGATCATGTGGCATAGATTGGACACTTTCTGTTGTCCACAGCTGTATGTACCTTTCTGTTTAACTGAATTTTTACCTTTATTTTTTCAGAATGGCTGTTAAACTTCAAGCAGAACATATCCAGGCCATAGAACTGTCAAAGAAAAATCAACTAGCGAATGATGCACTGCAAAAATTGAAAGTGTGTGTGGAGGAAAACGAAAAATTAAGAAAGCAAAAAGAAAAATTCGAAGAAATGTACGTAAAAGTCAATGGTACGAATAAAATCAAATTGCCTATGAAGTTCAAATTATTATTATTTTTTTTTAATTAGCCAAGTATGAGAAATTGGAGGAATTATTGACAAAGGACTCGTGTGTGAATAGACCAAATCTGCTTACCAACATTGTATTTAATCAGGTAAAATTTAAACGAGGAATTAATTAACAACTTTTTTTTCAACAATTTATTAAGAACCATGTATTTTAGTGGAAGTTAAACAGATCACATAACGAGGCACACATTAGTCAAACGAATGAGATGTTAAATAAAATGACAGATTCACTTACCAAAGAAAAGAGTATTAATGTCAAACTCATCACAGAAAGTGATCATATAAAAGAAATAAATAAAAAATTAGAGGACGAAAATTGGAAATTAAAAGAAATATGCAAAGAAAACTCAGAAAAAATTAAAAAGTTGGAGGAAAGCCTTCAAATTAAAGAAAGTGAGAATTCAACGCACATAGAAGTAAAAGAAGAACCAATTGAAATCGATTAAGGTTTAATAGAAGACCAAATACAATGAAAATAGATTGAAATTAATTTATGTTTAATGTTATTTATTTTTTGTTAAAATTTGATTTGTATTTTTTTACAAATAATACCAACTGAAAGGAGGAAAATTGAACATCCTAAAAATAAAATTGTTGTGAGAATAAATGTCAATAATTATATGGAATTTGTACTAAATGTGGAAGGTCAGGTAAAATTGAAACAACATTATATAACAAATTGATTAATAATATAGCCATCAATATTTATAAAATAAATAACTTAAATATATTACAATATAATACAAAGGTCATCGAATATGTATAATTCAACTGTGCAACGGCCAATCATTTTTACAAATAAAGCAATATTGAATTATTTTATATTCATAGGCAAAGAAAATTTCTTTGAACATCACCTTTCCTTACAAATATTTAAGAACATTTGCAACCCTCTATAAACTGATTAATTCATCCCGAAAGACTTTTAATTTACTGCAAGAAAATCTACTATTTTTTTTTTCATGTGACATAATGAATTTTGCAACTAACGTATTTGCTTATGATTTCCCAATCTTTAATCCTGATGCAAATATTAAGTGTATCTCGAAGTATTAATGTAATTTATTATACGGATTATTCAGTTTCATTTTTAACTGCTATCTAGAAGACTTATTGAGCTTCATGTGATAAAATTATTTTATTCATGGTCCTGAATAGTTTAGAGGCACAAAAAATTATTTAAAATTAAATAATAGCCCTGAAAATTCCGTTCAAGTCAGATGACATCAGTATCATCCTAACAGTATGGCAAGAATTCCAACTTTTTCCTTTTCGTTCATCTCGATCGTTCAAAAAAAAAATTTTTTTATCCATCTATATTTCAGTTTATGTTGAGAGAACATTTTCATATTTATATTGCATGCAGTCTGTTGATATTAGTCTTCCAGATCCCTTCGACCTTATAAAATTTCAAAAGCATCAACATTTTTATAACAAAAACCTTTAATAACTTAGTTAATACGCTATAAAAAATATTGCACTTCTTCAAAAGTTTTATAACTGCAAAGCATATTCACAAAGTAAGAGTAGTGAGGCTCTAATGCTTTGTGGTTTTTGTTTTCAACAAAGTTGGCAACACTGCATTCAAGGCCAAGATGTTGGGAGCAGAATGCACGCTCATTCGTTTCAATCGATTGAGAACTGTTGTTGTAGCAGCATGTTGAAATGAGTGCCGCTATTCCGAATCCTGCCAGCTGCGAGAAGAGAAGAGCTTAACCCGGTTTATTATTGCAAAAGGAAAGGCGTCATTCCATATTTTTAACAAAATTAAAACTGTTTCTGGAGATGGTGTGATAAATTGTATTAATGTGTACAAGTGGTGTCGTGAGTATAAAGCTGTCAGAACAAATGTTCATGATGAACGAACAAGTGGGCGTCCTTCAATCGTGACTAAGAAATGCTTCGTGGGGACCGTCGATTGACTTTGATTAAGATCAACGCAATGTTTTCACAAATCTCCAGACCTCTCCTGCATGAAATTATTACTGAAACTTTTAGTTCTCAAAAATTGTCTGCGAGGTGGGCACCGAACGTTTCAAACTGGAAGGTGAACAGTTCCTTGACTGTATTGTGACTGGTGACAAAACGTGGGAGCCAACTACACCCCTGAGACGAAAATACAATCAATGCAGTGGCGACATCGGTCTTCACCATCAGAGAAAAAATTCAAAAACGTTATTTCGGCCCAAAAAATCATGGCAACTGTGTTTTGGGATTATAAAAGGATTCTCTTCATTGACTTTTTGCCTCAATTAATGCTATGCTATACTGTGCACCCCTGAAAACACTACGGAGGACCAAAGAAGGGGAATGTTAACGAAAGGACTGTGCTTGTTGCATGACAATGCACATCTCACACAGTCAACGCCACAAAGCAACTCTTGGGTTAATTCGATTGGCACATTCTTGAGTAAACACCTTCTGATTTTCATCTTTTCTCTTCACTGAAGGTGTTTATGAGTGGAAAAAGGTTTTCTACCAACGATGAGGTCCACAGTGCCCCGAAACAATGAACCTGAGAGATGGCGGGAGATTTTTTTGACGAAGGTATCGGAAAGTTCATCCCTTGGCTCACAAAGTGCACTGAGGTTGAAGGCGATTGCATCGAAAAATAGCGTTTGATGTACCTTACTGATTATGTATATTTTTCATAAATATACTGCCGTTTCGATTTTTAAAATATTGAGTACTCTTACTTTGTGGATATGCCTCGTAATAATGATTTTTGTAAGTCATTTCTTAATAACTGCTGAGAAAGTTATGCTCACATTTTTTTTTTTTTTTTTGGAAATAAACATTCCCTGTTTTCACTGCTGTTAATGATAAATACTTTTTGGCAACTTTTTGCTTTTTCTTTCATACCCAAGCACCCAAAGCAAAGCTAGTGTTTACAGTTCCAATAATAATTATTAAATAACAGGTAATGAATTAAAATGCAAATTATTATTGTTAACTGAACTCCCAGACTTTCCTTTCACCTGGAAAATTTCTACGTTTGTAGCAGAACAACAAACTTTTATAACACTTGCTTTATATGTAAAAAAGAATTCATTTTCTTCAACTCCGAATTAGCAAGAATAAGCTAATTAGCCTTACTATTTAATCTGCAGATCTTTTTCCAAAAACTTCATGTAAGTCACCCGCACAAAGCCAGCTTGATAACCAGTGGCATAGTACAAGCTCGCCTGTAAGTTAGGATTGAAAGCCACTTTGTTGATTGCATGCATCGCGTATAAATTTGCCTTGGACGTTTCTACTTCTTCACTAGATCCCGTCTTCTTACCTTCCTTATGAAAATTATTGATACTGTCCTAAATATAAGATAATAGGATAGAACACAAATAGAAAATAAACTGCCTAAACGTACCATTTTAACATCACAAAAAAGTAGTCCATATTTTTTACTGCACTCCTGGTATGTAATAGGCTCGTCAAATACATTTTCTGTCAAAATATGATCTACATTATCTACATCTCTTTTCTTACTAATCTCAGTGACAGATTTCCTACGTTCAGCTTCAGTAAGCCTCTCCTCAGGTCTCAGATGTTTGTCAATTAATTTCGTATAACCAAAAGGCTGGAAAGTGACGTTTTGGCAGATGACAGAAATAATACTTTAGTAGTTTTTACTTACATAGATATAACTTTTTAAATGCTTGTCGGTGTCTAATCCAAACAGAAGCTGGGCAGGAAAAATTGCAGTGATCTGACCCACAGCATTACAGTACAGAATACCATTCAGCCAGTTACTTGAGGAAATTGTTTTGACAGTCGATGAAGAAGATACCAAATTGACATGTTCGTATAAGTAGTCACGGTAAGATGCAAGAAGGGTAGGAACAGAGCCTACAAGAAATGTAGTAAATTATTAATTAATTATTATTAGTAATATAAGTCAGTTTTTCCATGAACATATATTCAAAATTATGACTGTTTTCCCTAGGAATCCATCAGATGAAAACAAAAACAGTGCCATCTCTTGGCTGTTTATTTTTGCCAATTAAACTGACTGTATTTTTTCATACGCTTTATTTGTCAACTGAGTATGTTCTAGATATATTTTTTCCATAAATTAGTAAAGCGACATCGATAAGGCTCACAAAAAAAGAAAAGTGGTTTACTCCAAATCCTTATGTATTTTGACACACTGAATCCGAATCCAGGGCCAAAATTGCTTCATCACTCTCCATTTTTTTTTTAATTGTGAAAAACTACCATTAAATTTATAAAATTCTATTTTTCAAAACTAGAGTCTACTTTCAGATATGATTCCCTCTAGTAGATTAGCATTTTTGATAGTATAAACAGGGCCGGATGAACCTGTGGTGTGGCCCGGGGCTATAAGCTCTACACCAGGCCCTCTTTCTAAAGAAAAAAAAGGGTATTTGATTCTAAAAAAAGAAGGTCACGCAATCAGCAACTTGTCGATATAAAATTTCAAAACCTAAACACTTTGTTTAATTCTAAAAAAAATAACAAAAATTTGCCAGATCTTGCCGAGGCCCCCGATCTCGTGAGACCCTGCAAGTACATCTTAAAGTTTCATTAATTTTCTGTTGGTTTTTTAGTTTCAATACTATGTTTATATGAGGGTACAAATTGCTGGTTTCGCACTAATAAATTTCACGAGCTATTTGAGAAACATAAGAAATTTCTAATGATGAAATTCAGTTGAGAATCTTAGGCATTCAACCTTTGAAGAAAATTTCGTTTCCTGCTGTATTCTCTTTGAAGCCCATTTTATTGTCTGTGCCTCTAACTGGGGCACCTCTGAGTGGTGACAGCGGGCAACAAATCCATACTGGAAGAGCCCCTGGGTAAATGCAAGAAATCTCCCAGATTTTAGGATTATACCGTTTATCGAATGTGCAGAAATTAACGCGTTTTGTTAAAAATATGCACGTCGCATTTTGAAGACCCAACGATGATATAGATATTGCCTGGCAGTAACGTTCGTTCTCTTTTCATAATTGTTCCAAATGCTATACCCCTTTTCCGTATTTAGGGTGGACTTTTGGCGATTTAAAGAAAAACGGGTATGGTGAAGCAATTTTGAATTCGGATTCAGATTCAGCACATATAAATATGGTCCTGCAGTCGTTTTCACTCGGATACTACAATTATATCTAATGCTGGTCCCTTCCAAAGAGACATTTTCCATATTTTCTGTATTTATGTGTGGTTTTTCGCGATTGAAAAAAATGGAGGGTGATGGAGCAATTCTGGCAACAGATCTGGATTCAGTGTGTCAAAATACAAAAGGATACATGCAATAGGTCTAGTCTTTGGAACAAATCACATTTCTTTTTTTGCCTGTGTGTTGTCTCCAATATAAAATCTTTTTAAATGTCACCTGAGTGTAATTTTATAATAATCTCATGGCATGTATTAAGGGGGTAAAAGACCCTAGCACTTTTGAAAAATCGATTTTTTTTTTCGCTGAAAATGTACCTTAATATCGTAAAAATCACACGGTAAAGTTTCATGCACGGGAGAAATCCGCAAGGGCTCGAATTAAATGCAGCCTGGCCCCTTTCGCTGCTCTATGTGCACACAATCTAGGTGCCACCGTTGTATCGATAATTGGAGCATCTGTTTGTCATGTGATATTGAAGGTATATATAATATAATTAATACCATACAATCGTCATGGTGCAGGCATTGCAGATTATAGTTACATTGAATTTTTTCTTATTTTTCCAGTACTTGAAAATGTATTTTTCTCAAAACAACAAATTTCAAGTCTGCCAAGCCGATATCTCGAACAATTTTTGTTTGATTGGCTTGAAAGGAGGACCCCTAAGGCCGGTTTTTGGCCTAATTTATTTTTGGTTGAAAAAATCTGAAAAAATCTGAAAAAATTTTTAGTATCTACTAGCAATACCGAATCGTTTCCACCCTAAACAGACCAACCCTCTCACCCTCCTTTCCCTCTTCACCCCCTTAAATGCCAGGGAACCCATAGCTTATTAGAGGAATCTTTAAAGAGCTTCGAGATGCGAAAGACATTCAATTCCTATGAATCTTATATATGAAGAGTTTTTTGGGTCGCTGATCACGAATCTTGTCTCAGAATCACGAAATTCAAAATGGCGAATCCAATATGGCAGACAAGAAAATTGAAATGTTTTCAAAATGTATGAATTTTTTTGTAAAGGTCTATTTTGAGTCTATTATTACGAATCTGGACTCTAAATCAAATCAAATTCAAAATCGCGGATTCAATATGGCGGACAAAAAAACTAAAATGCCTAAAATGCATGAATTTTTGTGTAGTGGTGTTTTTTTGGGTCTCTGATTACGAATCTGAAGGTAGAATTACGAAATTCAAATTGACGTATTCCATATGGCGGACAAAAAAATTAAAAAGATCATAATCCCCAAATATTTGTTTATAGAAACTTTCTTGGATCACTGATTACAATTATGAATTCAGAATCACGAAATTCAAAGTGATTAATCAAATATGCACAAACATGTATGTATAATTTTTGTTTTTTTCTTTTTCGTTTTATTCAATGTAAATGTGTGTTAAAGGGAGGGGGGAGGTGGAAAGGAGGGTGAGGGGGTTGTTCCGTTTAGGGTGGAAACGATTCAGTATTGCTAGTAGGTACTAAAAAAAATATTTTCTGATTTTTTTTTAACTGAATATTTAAAACTACTCTCTCCTCAACGGTATGTAGCATTATTTATTTATAATGCATAGTTTGCAAATTTTATTACCGATTTTCGAGTGAATTTATTTCGTTTTCCCAAACTTTTATTTCAAATATACGTCATTTTTGCAAAAATCAGTTTAAAAAAAAATCCTACGTTCTGTTGTCATATTAAATCAAAATTTTCTTGGATTGTGATTGTATCTTTAAATTTGCAACGCAGTAATAAAAAAAAAGATGCCCATGGAAAATTACTAAGTTGCTATTTTGTTGTTTACAGCTCCAAAAAAAATTAAAAACACTTCAATAGTTACATAATAAAGAACTTTTTACCAAATTTAGATCTGTTTAGTTTTTTCAAAAATATTACTGAAATTTTCTCTGTTTTTCGGCCTCTAGAGTGGTTTACCTCCTTAAAATCAAAACCATATTTTGTCAAATTAATATTATTTAAGGATGGAAAAATAATTATGTTCGTAAATAAAAGTTATGGAAGGTTAAAAAACGATCGTCTATGCTGAAAATTGCAAAAATTACTCACTCTGTCTTGTAGAACTCTCATCAACAGCAGAAAGAAAAGCTATCCAATTGGTCAACCACAAGCCGTCAGATAAAATGTTTCTTCTAGAGACTATTTTCAAGTCATTAGATAAATCCCATACGATGATATTTCGATCAAAAGATCCCGTCAATAACCACCTTTTTCCATCACCCAAATGAATCAAATCAACCACTAAAAAAAAATTTAAACAATCTCTCCCAAAACAATAGAAGTCAAAAAAATATTTCTAGAATCCAACAAATTTATTCCAGTAAGTACCTGTTACCACGTGAGTGTGGGGTTGAAATGACCTAAAAGGTAAAAGAACTTTGCAGCCATCCTTATCTCTGCCTATCAATAAATTTGATGTTGTGTTTAAATCGAACAAGGCTACCACCCCATCAGTGTATCCGACAGCTATATAGCTGTGCCCCGAAGCCTAAAACATACATTACTGTAAGTTTTAGACTTAAGTTTTCCTACATTAAAGCCAACCTTGCTCCATGATATCTTTGTGGCATAAAAATTTTCTCGGCTTAAACCATACTCCTCGTTAAGTGCTAAATGTAACCTGAGCAATGGTTTCGTTTTGTAGAACATACCCCTAAAAATACAATAACACTATTTTTTTTAAATGAGCAGCTTATAATCTTACATTTGATCATCCTTCAAGTAAGGTATGGAGTAAATATGAACAGCAGAGTCTGAACCTGCCACAGCTAGAAGTCCCATCCGGGACATTTCTTCACCGTCATCTTCAGGATTGGTGTCAAAGCAGCCTGAAGGGCACCATTCGATATGCCACACGGGACCAAAACCGTGTGCTAAACAAAACATCAGTTTAGGCTCGGTCATTGGCTGTTTGTTCTTTAGGACCCCAAAATCCCAGATCTGTATCACAGACTGGTCATTATAATGCAGGTTAACGAGATATTTTTTGTCGAAATCATTAAGTGTTGCCACGGCAAGGACTTGTCTACGCTCGGAGGAAGTGTATGGAGTAGGCATCCAAGCCATCGCTTGTATAGGCCCACCACAGAATATCGTTGTAATTCCTGAAAACATTGAATGAAAACTAAGGAAAATATACCTAACATTTTTTTTACCTTCACCAGATTCACTCTCGAACAGATTAAATTTCTTAAATGTGTAATCATCTCCTAAAACGTTTTCATTATTGTTCACAGTTCTTTTCGCTACATCACAGGACTGTAAACATTGTGGTAGGTATTCCCCAATAAGATCGTCATTCAGTAGTAACCAATCAGATTTGAAATAGCGTAGAGGTTTGAATAACACTTCTGTAGAATAATGTTGTTCACAGCTAAAAAATTATTTCGGTGCAATATACAGTGTTGTAGACGTAAATAGGCCTCTTCTCTGCCAAGTTTTATCAAATGGCATTCGTGAAAATAAGCAGCAAGGAAAGCACATTTTGCAATCCTCTGTTATTACGTCTCTGTAGCTCTGGCAATTATTTTAACATACAGGGTGTCCCGCTTAAATGTGATACAAGCCTGTAACATCTTTATTTTTCGCTCAATTTCAAAAATTTTTATTTTGAAATATAGGCTAAAAAAACTCTATCTAAATAAATTAATCAGAAGTTTTTTTTATCCTACATTCTAAAAAAAAATTTTTGAAATTGGTCAAAAAATAAGGAAGCTACAGGCATGTATCACATTTAAGTGCGACACCCTGTACATTACTGTTACAGGCAAATCAAAACTTTCTGACTAAATTTATTTAAAATCAGGGATATACAGGGTACAAATTTAATTTGGTGTCAATATTTGAATAGTAATAATATGTACGTGTTCTACAAAATACTAATCTGAAATTTCTATTTTTTTTAAAGCACATGTGCTTAGTTTATGAATTTCACTGACTTCTGATATTGATCTAATTTAGCTCAACTACATACCTGATGAGATATGACAACAAAACAGATCACAAGACCAATGTTAATTTGGCAAAACGAGAATGACCGAACCTCTTCATTTTATTAAATTCATTTTAGTGTTCAGTTTATCAGTTTATAAGAAAATATTTCTAATGTGTGTAGTTTTATGATTTTTTGAGTGAAGAATTAGTTTATAATGGAATCGAAATAGAATTTGTAGTGTTCTGTTTTTCAAGATAAATTTTATAATAAAATTTAAGTCGTATTGAGTTATTTCCATTTCAGTGTGTGTGAGTACAGGTGTGCATCTTGGCTTATTAAACTATAAAAACGCTGTAAAACTATTCATGCCGTGGCTCTCAGTTGGGTATGTACCTGCGGCTAGTGCGTACGCTTATTTGAGGTTGAAAATTACAAAAATAAAGTTAAAAAGTTACCGTTTTCATGGAGGAATTCAACAAAGCAAACTTTTGATATATATGATACTAAATATCAAAGGTAGCCTCTATATAAATATGAACCCATTTGAAGTTACATCCTGTATATCATGTCAAGTTAAAAATACAAATACACGAAATGTAAGTATTCCTAGTGTGTTTATAGAGTTTCACATTACATTTACCATCACATTAAGTGAACACAACTTGTGTGTTTGTACGTAGTTGTAAAGCAGGATGATATCTCTTCTGTAAATTATTTATTAGCCCCCCCACTTTGGTATCGTTATTGAATTTACGTAGATTGTCAGCTTTAATTTGATTTTTAGGTATTTTCTCTGTTGGAAAGTAAAGTGATACAATTTCTAATAAGCTGTACGTAATTGTTTTATTGTGGCACTGAAGGATTAAATTATCCTCACTCATTTAGTTAAAGGATATTGCCAAAAAGACATAACTAGGAAAATAATTTAAAAATAATTGATAGATGTCACCCCTCCATTATTCTCACAAACTGATTTTAGAAATTATTATCAGAATTTTTTCTTATAACAGCTCCAGTGCCATCTGTTAAATTTTCAGTGATATAGATTAAGGTAGCACTGTCATTATAGAAACACCGTTGAGAAATTAATGAAATTGAATATATCCATATTGGTCCAAACGTGACTCTGAAAAATTTTTGTAAGGCCAGGGTATGTGAGAGAAAGCATTTTAATTATTAGTCATTTAACAAGTAGTGTTATGAGAATCGTATTTCCAATGACAGTTGACAGTGAAGCGTTTGGGGAAGGCAGACTGTTTCTAACACCATCGTTAGCATATAATAATATGTAGTATTGACAAAGACAGGCACAGGCTGCGATCTCCAAACACTTCAATCATTCTGGATCTCTCTGTATAAATATTGTTGATCTAAAAAAAAATAAAATAGAAATTGATATGCAGAGCATTTTGGGCTCTTGAACGTATTGATTAGGTACGTGTGATAATAGAATTGAGCAATGAAACACAAAAAAATTGACGTTTAGCTGTGGAAGAGGTTATACCCACTTCCACAGGCCGCGAAGTTGCCACGTCTACCTACTCGGCATAGTAACGATGGTACCTTAAATCAGTATACCTAATGCCATTTAAGTTTCTGTTGAAAATCTATAAATTATTGGGTTCAACAGTAGTAAACTGCAGAAGAGGTCTATTTACATACACACTACTAATATATATATACAGATGATACAAAGAGAACTTACAACAACATCGTGTAGTAATAAGCTTCTGAGAACAATTGGTATGGCCTCCTTGAGAGATTAAGGATAAACGTCGGTTTAGCTAGAAGGTATTACATAAAGTACCGAATATCGTGTGTCATGATTTTTCGAAAAAGTTATTAATACATTCATACGTTACCTTTGTAATGTGGGTCTTTTTCCATTTTAAATTTTTCATTTAACGATCCCCTTTTCATTTCCAAATAATATTGCTCCAGTTCCTCTTCAGCTTCTTCATAATCATCATCGACTATGTCAATATTATGGGTATTTTTCAAATGTTCCTTCATTTCCTCCTCAGATGTAGATATTAAAAGGCATTTTCTACATGTATAATACTAAAAACACATAAAAAGTAGTTAGTATGTATAAATTATTCACATTTTTCATACCTGTTCAGGTTTTTCTTGGCAAGAATTCATATGTTCTATTACGCTAACTACTGAATCGGATTCATATGAGCAATTATTAAATTTACATTTGACAGTATTGTCATTGGCCAGTTCTTTTTTCAGGAGGACTTTAACAAAATCTTCTTCACTGAAATTCATTTGCTGCAGGAAGTACTAGAAAAACAGTGGAATAATGAATATGTATAAAATTTAGCCTAATTTATACATACTTCTGAATATTCTTGAACCATTTTTTCACTAGAGATTTTATTTATAACAAGCATGGCCCTAAAACGAAAATCTCATATAACTTTAATACACCTTAGATACACTGCTACATTAGGTGATTCACGCAATAGTTTTATATGAATCACCTAGCCCGAACATTTGATACTGGAAAAAGATATTTAGGTACAAGTACAATTGTCAGTCTTCAGTGACGTCATTTAAGACTTAGAGTAGATTTTTTCGAAACAAGTTTAGATGGTGCTGAAGTCAATTAAAATTTCTATTTCCCCGAAAATTTGGAACGTGCTTAAGACAAGGAATCAAGGGTGGAGTGGGGGTAGCGCATGCAGTTTGGAAACAGTTGAGTCCGATAATAACCAAATAGTAGCTACTCATCACTTTTTTTTATTAAATGTAATTTATTCAGATGTGGTGTAAATTTTTGCTAATACATATGTATTTTGAGCTACATTGTAAATGCAAGTATACTTCTCGTTTCACATTTTCTGTAACTAGAACTTTTAACATGAATGTTACGAAATAAAGCCATCATCTTTCAGAGATATTCACAAGTTTAATATTCAACAACTTTATTGGCCAATAAAGGTGCTGATCTTACAACCATCAAATGGCATGGTGGATGGCAGAGCTCATCTCTAGCAGAAAATTATGTTGAAGAGTCTATATCTAACAAACTTGATATTGCAAGGAAAATCCAAGGAAAATATAGCTGTTCCTTACAAGAAGAGATATCCGTAAATTGTGCAAATTCTTCACAAACTTCAGCCGATGCTATGCATTCCGAAAATGATGGCTCCAGTGCTACAAGGGTAGTTATTAAGGGAAAGGAAGTTAAATGTGATAAAACAAAAAACAAAATGTCTATTACTATGAATGTAAATGTTAATGTTGATAAGTAAATAAATTAAAGGACCACCACAACTATCCTTATGGAAAACCGGTCCCGGTTGAATGGTACGAAACTTTGCTGAATGATAGTCCTCAACGTGTCGATCAAAAAAGTCCATTGGACCTAGATCTGAAAAACTACTGTTCTAAAGCTACAGCCTTCTGAAGTTATCGAATCCACGTGCTTGATGACCATTTAGTCAAACTTTCTGAAGGTGCTTCAGCTATTTTCTGAAGACTAAGGAATGCTGAAGATATGCTGATGACGGATTCAGCATGTCGCTCAAGCAGTACGTGTCGCTATCGCTGTTCTTCAGTAGGTGCTTCACCGATTTTCTGAAGACTGAAGGATGATACAGTTATTTTGACTACGAATTCGTATTCAGTACATGAAAAATACATCAAGGAACAGCCAGCTTGGTGACTTTATAAAAAAATATTTGCTTTTACTTGGACTTTTACTTATTGGACTTGATGGTCATAGAGCACATGGATTCGATAACTTCAGATGGCTGTAGCTTCAGAACAGTAGTTTAATCAGATTTAGGTCCCATGGACTTTTTTGATCAACACATTGAGGACTATCATTCGGCAAAGTTTTGTACCATTCGAACGGGACCGGTTTTCCATAAGGATAGTTGCACGGTCCTTTGATTTATTATAGGTTTATTATTTTTTCATTATTCTACTAGTGAAATAACGTTACTTTATTCCACTAGTGGATAAAGTATCACTTTAGACGGTTCATATGTGTGGATAAAAGTCCGATTATAAGGTGAATGTGGATAAATATTTATATTTTATTTTCTAGAGAATTACATATTTGATTTGAAATTTTTTCTTTACTTTTTTCATTTATCTAATGACACAAACCAGTTTTATTTCCTAAAAAGTTATATTGAAAAAAAACTACTCTTGAAAATAGGTGTAAAAAAATTACAAACATTCATTCCTTTTTGAGATACCATGCGGTCAAATTAAGAATATTAGAAACCCTTAATTAATGTTTGAACGTCCAAAAATAAATTAGATTACTGCCCCTGAAGACAAAACTTATCGTAAGATATTTAAAACTTACGTTGTTGCCGCTTTCCTCTTTTTTAATACTGTATCGGTATCGACTTCCAAATAACCAGCATCTTGTATTACACTCTTTTCCTTTGGCTTCTCATGAACCCATTTTATATGTGTCTGCATACTAACTGGCAGCACTTTTCTGTCACAGAATTGACATTGTACTTTCGTTTCTTCCAGTTTTACACCGCATTGAGACTGATGTGATAAAAATCCGATAACAGACTTCTTTGATCCACCACACTTGTCACAATATAAAGGCTTTTTAGCCTTATATAGGGCAGTGAGGACGTTGAGTACAAAAGATTTGTCGTTCAAATTCTACAAAGAAAGAATATCTGTTATTTGAAATAAACACAAATACTGCAAAATGGCAGTTTTACCAAAGGACGGTCCCCGATTCTCCAGGCCAAATTATTGTGTTGTCGTTGTTTATGATTTGGCCACTTGGTTTTTTCTATTTCGGTTTTACAGATGGCGCAAGTCACCATACCGTTAGACGATATAACACCGCTACATTTTTCCATGTGGTTTGTGAAGCTACCAACATTGTCAAAAGAATTCTTACATTTATTACATTTTATGACCTTATCTTCTGTTAATATTGCTTTCAGTATTCTTGCAACTACAAATCTGTTATCTAGTGCCTAAAAACATAAATAATTTCTAGGAAGTAGGTATTAATTAATTATAAAGGAACGATTTTCAAAATGTCAATTAATACAAGAATGCATACATATTTCACATTGTACAGGGTGTAAATAAGAGGGGATCGGTTTTTTATGGGTAAAAATGCATGTTCCTCAGAATGTTAAACTTGAAATTATTTTTTTTCAAATCATATCAAGTCAAGTGCTTTGTTATTTTGTTTGTTTTATAAAATAAATAAAACGTTTGGTACTATTTTTTTAAAGCACTGTGTTTAGTTTCTGAATTTTAGTATCAATTCACCTGATGTGATGTGACAACGAGGCATTAGACAGGTAAAAGACTAGCGGTCAGAGTGTAATGAGAGTAATTGAGTGAAAGAAAACTACAAAAAAAACGGTTAAACAAAATCCAGTTTTCATAATGCAATTTGAAAAAACAAACATACAATATTTAATATACACGATTTCTAAAAGTAAAGATAACCTAAGTATAAACATGATTCCCAAACGAAGTAACACCCTGTAGTTGGAATAATGTCATTTGTTCAACGTACTAATTCTGGTTCTCCATTTCTCCAAGCTAAATTATTGTGTTCTTGCCTATTGTGTTCATCCCATTCATCATTATTTACTTTTTTACTGCATATTACACAAGTTACCATATTGTCCTCGTCTACAGTAATGTTTGTAACTATCCTATAATAATAGAATATAAACTGTTTGAGGCAATAGAAAAGATATATAGGTAGGTACTTACTTTCGCTTTCGGCCACGCTTATTTATTGGGCTGATATTGGATGAACTAAAAACATATGTATTTGTAATAATAGGTACCTAATAATAATAATAATAATAATAATAATAATAATAATAATAATAATA